CCCCCCACAGCGTGGGGAGAAGGCCCCCCCCCCCCCCCTCTGCCTGCCAGCCAGCAGGACCTGGGGACTTGGAGCCGGCCAGGAGGTCATTTTATTGTCACAGACACCGTATTATCTGCAGTTGAGCTAACAATGAGGATGATCCTCATTTAAAGGAGAGGCACAACCAGCTCCTCCTGCAGTTCCCTCTGACTGGCTCACTCCAACACGGCTTTAATTTCCCATTAGCCTCCATCAAACCCCACCTGCACTACGCTGGTTTTACCCCCATTTTGCCAGCACGGTCAAAGCACTGGAGGTGCTGGTATCGGCATCTGTGTCCCCTCCACGCCCAGTTTGTTGGACAGAGCTTTGCACACAGAAAGAGAAGATGTTTTTGAACCTACAAACACTCGCCAAAATAAAATATGGAAGTATTTGTAGGATCTGAAACGACTTTCCCTGCAAGTCTCTGCACTTCCACGTGCACCACTGTTAGCTGGGCACAGGCTGGAGCCGACAGGACACCCACTCCTCAAGAGGACGCAGAGGTGTCTGCTTCTCCGGCACGGGACAGTGCCTTCAGGTGCTGGACTCGCCCCTGATGTGAACCAGGAATGGAGCAGTCCAGGTGAGGATGGAAATACAAACCAATCCGTGAGTAAATCGGACACTGCATGCTGGTTCTGTAAGAGCTGAGTTGAACCCAAATTGTAAAAAAAACAGATGAAAAGCTGAAAGGAACTTACAGACATGTAGGACCGAGTTCCCACAAAAGAATTTGCCATGGAGTCAATGAGTTGACCGCTGACCCCGAAATCACACAGCTTAATCTCTCCTCGAGAATTCACCAGGATGTTGGAAGGCTTCACATCTGGCAACGGCAAGAGAGGAGAGCGTAAACGTGACTCTAGGTGAAACACAGGGCTCTTGCCACGCAGGCAGTTATTTTTAGGTTCCTCCTCTCACCTCTGTGCATGATTTGGTGCTTCTCTCTCAGATACGCCAAGCCTCTCAGAACCTAGAGGGAAGCCAAAGACAGGATGAGATCAGAGCGGAGAAGGAAAGTGCTTTCCCTTCGGCAGGACACGTTGCATAAACTCCAGGCGCCGTCACGCTGCAGCTTAGCGAGGAAAGCTGCTCTGTAGCACTCGGGTGTTTCAGGGTTGGCAATTTATCACCAAGTCAATTGCAGATCTTGGGTTTACCACCCAGGAAAGCTTCTCTCAAATCTTCTCCAGGAGAGGCCAACACCAACCGGTGCAACACAAAGGGATGGAGCTATGGAGAGTGGTTGGGAATACGCTTTCCCCCTCCCCTCTTGCACACACCACTGCTTCTTGCTGTAGGTCAGGATAGGAGAGCACGTGTGAGGAAACCAAGACAACTCCCTAAGGCAACACAAGCATTATTCCCAAACCGTGCCCAGCAAATCCTTCCTGGAAGCCTGAAGAGTGACCGTAACTCACCGCTATACTGACTTTCCCCAAGATCTCCTCGGGAATTCTTTTGGCTTCTTTCAACACTTGATCCAAAGAGCCACCATCCTAAAATAAAGAACACCAAAATGACCAACACGCCAATCCCCAGCAGGAAAACAGCAGCTGGCTGTACAGGCAAGCAGGCCCAGGGAGGGCAGGTGGTATCAAGCAGAACACGGCATCCCAGTCCAGCTGTCTGCAACGACTCAGCACCCAGCACGCTCCTTTTACAGCAGAAAAAAAGAAATAGCTGGTGATCAGAGCTCAAGCTTCTCACGGACAACTATTTTAATGCTATCTTCTGTCAGCTCTACTTCTTGCTAGCAGTTCTTAGCTTCCTTTCCCTCAGTGGTAAATGTGAAGATGATGCTGTCAGCGCTGATCTGGAGGAGCGACAACACTGTTCTCCACCAGAGACAACAGAAAACACGCGCTGAGCTTCACGGCAAGCTCCGCAGAGCAGCGGGTTTACAACATTTCCGTTTGGCCAACCCCCAGACCTCGACTTCCGCTTTCCAAAAAGTCGATCTCTCTGTCATTTCGATGCCTGAAGCAGCAGCGTGCAGCTCCTACCAGGAGCACAGTGGCATTTCTGCAGGCAGATCGAGGAGCCATCGCAGCTGCCAGCACCCTAAACACTTCACCCGCGATTTCCAGAGAGCAGCGGTTTGCAGAGGAGGAACAGGGACTCACCATGTGCTCCATGCAGATGGAGATCTCTCCATCGCTGTAGAAGGCTCCATAGAAACCCACGATATATGGGGAATTACACTCGTGCAGCACCTGCAGCTCTCGGATAATCTGATTCCTGATGGCCGGTTTGATTTCTAAATGAATGAGCTGCCAAGACAGAAAAAAAAAAATATTCAAGGTGTGACACCTTCGGGGGAAGGAGAAACCCACAAAAAACTTAAGGGAACCATGTGAACAAGTCCTGAGTGTCAGAAAGAAACAAAACCTTCCAAGGGAAGCTCTGCTTTGCCACAGATTTTTTACCATTTGCAGACTAATACCAAGGATAAAGGGAGAGGTAAAGCCCTGCGCAGCCTGTTAGTGACAGAAGCGATTGCGTCGCTAGGACATCGCACAGGACACAGAGCGGAAAGACAAGTCTGAAGTTTGATGCAGATCTGACTCAGCAGACAGGAACATTTTCACAAGTTCTGTAGGTGTTGTAAGAAGAGGTGCTCCGATATCAAGGAAACCACAGGAAGTGAAAAAAAAAAAAAAAAAGAAAAAAGAGAAGATTCTGCACGTGAAAGAAGAGTTGCTTTATTCCTTGGGCTCCAAGTACAGTCAGTTAACACAGCTGTGAGTAGGGAAGCCACAGACGTGTGGGAAAGCCACAGACGGAAAATACAATGGCAGGTCAGAAAAAAAAGAGTCACTGTTCCTGTAAGCTCTTGGACACCCAACCCCAGGGACACCTGTCCTGCCCTACAAAGGCTGATCTCTGCAGGGAGGACAGCACTGGGGCAGCTTGCTTCCCCTTCAGCTTCTGAACACAGAGCTCACAACAATCTCAGAACCACCCAGTGACATCCAACGCTCCCAAATCAAATGCCCTGGAAGGCCGAGAGAGCTCAGCTCTGAGTGAAGCCACTGGGAGAAGTGGATTTGCTCATGGAGACCCACTAAGCTATCCCAACAGCAGGTGAGACCAGAGACTTCCAAGGAAGTTGTCCTACAGAGAAGCAGTTGCACCGTTCTCACCAAGCACTGCCTTGATGAACAGGCAGATGAAGCATCTCCCAGTTTTCTACTACGAGGCACCACAGTAGAAGACATCGCCCATAAACCCATGTCTGAGAGGAACCACTGTCACAGCTGCTTGGAACTACCTTGGGGATCTGTGAGGTAAGGGGCGAGGAACATGTGTGCTAAACCCACCCCTCCACCTGCCATTTCCAGTCCTCCTTATAGCCATGACTTCGGATCCTCAAGAGATCTGCTTCCTACTGCTTCTAGCCAGTTTAGCTGAGCTCATTAAAACCAGCTTCACCAGAAAAAAGAATAAGCTTATGTTTTCACACAAGGCGCTCCAAACCCCAGGGACCTGCCACATGGAGAGCAGCCTCTCCCAGGGGACTGGGAGACAGGCAGAGCAGCCGGATCGCTCACAGCGATGAAGCAGGAGAGGCTCCACCTAAAACCCAGGTGGGGGCAGCCGGGACCATGGTTCTGACCCAGGCAAGGCAGTTAAGGTGCAGATGGGTCACTGCAGAGAGACCCCAAGCAAAGCTGGTTCTCCCAGAGCCAGGGCGACTGCCAGACGCTCCAGCACAACACCACAGCCCCACTCCTCCTGCCCCCAGTTACCTTCCGTGCCATAATGAGTCCTGAGGGTTTGTGCTGCACTTTGGTGACCACCCCACCGTTGCCAGCTCCCAGTTCGGAGATCCTCTCAAAGTCATCATCCTTCAGCTCGCCCACTTTGGCTTTCTGCGTGAGAAAAGCTTCCAGGCGTTTCTTCTGCTGCTCGTCCAGCTCCAGTTCCTCGAGCTTTTTCTGAAGGTCCACGAGGTTTGCCCTGGAGAGGGGAGGAGGAGACAGGAGGGATAGTCAAGAGACTGCGAGGGTGACACCAGAGAAAGAGGGTTGGTGGTTTTTTTTCAGGGAAGCAGAGGGAAATAACTGAAAACTGTTGTCTGACACACACTCAGCCCCTGATACAAGAGCGAGACTAAAGCAAGGCTCTGCAGAGAGGAAGGGCTCAGCCCCGGTGCCGACAGGGTCACCCACAGTGAGACCCATGGTGCAGGATCTGCCCAACACGCACAACTCCTCTGGAGAGGAGCTTTAGCGCAGTCAGCTGCTTTGGGAAAGCCAAGGAGTAGGGAAAATCCTCCAGCCCTTAAAGAGGCAGCACAGCTCAGCCTGGAGAGAACGGCAGCACCAGCAACCTCTCCCGACACGGAAAGCCAAGCTTGGGATTCACTGATAAACATGAGAAGGGCTTTCCAGGGCGTCCAGCAACCCCCTGCTCCCTTACACCCCCCTGCCACCCCCTTTCTCCCGCGCACAAGGGGGTGTCTGTCCCCCCCCAGCACCTGCTGCGGAGCTCCCGTGGCCACGCACGCTCCAGCTGCTCTCTCCCGTTTGCTGCCCACCCTGTTATCCCCTCCGCCCAGCCTAAAGCCATGTTTTGGGAGGGTCTCACCAGCACTCCCAGGCGATGCTCTGTGCCCCCCTCTCCACCACCCTTCGCCCCACACATCCTGCCCACCGATCC